CATACTGCTGCTGCACAAATAGCATATATAATAACCTGTAGCAGATCTATACAGGTGGAGCTGGGGAAGGTGGAGGGTTTCAGAGGAACTCTGAAAGCATGCTGCGAACAGCTCTGCTGAATGCTAACCAGCCATTTAAATGTAAAGCAACAAGCTCATTGGCTGCGTATGCAACATAAACCAATCAGATTGTGCCAAGTCATTTAACACTGTGAATATAATCAGTTTACATTAAGGACCCATCAGCCTGCGCCATCTAGAGTTTCATGACAGAAATTGTAAAAAAAAAAAACATGGTTACAACATTTTTACTATAGTAAAACCATGGTTAATTTCCATACTGTAATACCTAAATTCTTTATGATTTTATAATAATCATGTATCACTATTTACTGTACTGCTCTGCTGGTTGGTATTATTTTTAAATTATACTAAAATCAACTAATCATTAATAGGCAATAAAGGTAATAAATACTTTATTGGTTTAGTTATTTAGTAAAGTCCATTGTTAGTTCAATAAGACAAGGTATAACTTAAACAGAGATCTATGAGCCCAATCTACCGTTTGTTTACTCAGTTGAGTAACCGCCATCAGTGTAATTACAGACAAGCACAGTTAAACATTTGGACAAATCAGCTTTCTAAATGCTCTGACTCAGACAAGCACAGACTGTTTCCTGGTATGACCTGGATCATCATTCTCATAGGATATGTAGCTGTTCACATTTGTCATAATTGCAACTAAATAGGCCAGAGGCTTAATCTTCATGCACCTTGGGGAACCACAAAAAGAAACTCACCAGCCTGTCTGAGGACGCCAGCTCTCTCTTTGTCTCTACAGAAACTCTTAGGTGGTGAACCGGAGGAATGAACTGACGTTGCGGACGCATCGGTTTGGAAAGAAGGTTCTTTGAGTTTAGCATGGACTTTTGTAGACCCCATGCCAATGCATTGGTCTTCAGGTTGCAGATAGCTGGTTGAATCGGATTGTGAGGCCGGAGGTGAAATCGATGCACTGTGGTGTTTAACTCTATCTTCTGATTGAGCTTTGTCCAAGCGAAACTTTAGCGAAAGAGAGGTAGAGCGAAGCTTCACTCCGAATGCATTTGTAGCCTCTCTCTCTTTTCCCACAGTCACATCTTCCATCACATCCTCAACTGCCTCTTCTGCCACCTCCACCTCCTGTACTCCTTCTTCAGTAGCCTCTACCCCAATCTCCTGCTTCTCGTTGTCCTGACTCTCCTCCACATCCGGGGCCCGAGGATGGCTCTTTGCTAGATCAGTGAACTTTGTTGGTATCACTGGAGAAGTGTCCGTTTTGTCTTCCTTCTTTGAAATTAGTGGTAAGTTAGCAGATGGGCCTTTTATTGTTTTCTCGACTTGTGAACTTACTTGCCGCTCTATCTTGATATTTAAAGGAGGTTTGGCAGGAGATGGAGGTTCCTTTTTCAGTCCAGCTTGTCCAACTACTCCAGTGAAGCTTGCAGTCCTCGGCCGCTCTTGACTCTTGTCTGAGGAGACATTAAAGTGGAACGATCCAGACACAGTTCTTTGACGCTTTATGGATTCTGTTTGAGTGTGATCTTCATGACTAACAGCTGACACTGTGCTGACTGGCTGAAGGGTCCTGGACTCATGTTTGTCATCTGTGGAAGCTATATTTCTCCTCAGAGATGATGGTCTCAGATTTACTCCACAAATCACATTGGTTGGAGCATGAGTAGAGGCTGGGCTTTTCTCTATATTTACTGCATTCTGAACACAGTTTTTGTCCATCTTGGTTTGTATTAGCACAGCATTAGACTTCTCATATTTCACAGGACGCAATTCTGGTGTGGTAGTTACACTTGGTCTTACAGTTGACACAATGTTACTTTGGGTGTTCTCGAGTAGTTTGGAGCTACTGAGCATCTCACTCACTTCTCCTTTTCCCTTTTTGTCAATTGGCACCACTGGGATTGGTGGTTTGGCTACTGGTGACACAGCTGCAGTTGTTTCCCGTAGGCTAGGGCTTGGAGGTGATGTGGACAGGATGTTTCTCTCAATCTCAGGTTCAGCAGAAACTTGTCTAATATCTCCAGACGTCTGCAGAGACATTAAAGGTGAAACTGGAACTGGACTCTTGATTTGTGAAGTCGTAAGCCTCTCCCCCCGTAAGACCTGTGAGGAATACGAGCGAGCGCGAGGTATCTCTTTTACAGAAGTATCTTCCTCCCTAGTAGTCAGCGATTGGTCCAGATTGTTCAAACTCTCAGATCGTGCTCTGCTTCCAGCCTACACAGGAAGTGCAATGTACAAATATAGAAAAATCTATTAAATATGAACTATGTGAACTAAATATGAACTATATGGAAAATTATATTTTAAATTTCTGTTCTTCCACAAGCATTAGAGTTCTTCAGGAATAAGTCCTAAAACCCAGAAATTAGGATTTTTGAACTTCTGGTTCCATTGTCCTCAAGTCAAAGGGTTTTTGAAATAAGTTCTGTGGTTAACACAAGCTCACGATATTTCCTAATTTTATTCTACAAAATAAAATACATCAGTAATACCCCACTCATGATTTTATTTTTGCATTTTTCTTGATAGGACAGTGGAGGAGATCTGAGTGGGAGAGAGAGGGACGAGATCAGGAAAGGTCCACGAGGCGGTATTCAAACTCGGGACACCCAAAGAGCAACTGTGCCATATTTCTGCGTGCTGCCCACGAGGCTATCGGTGCAGACACTCTTGATTTTTAAAAGTATTTAAAAATAAGGTTGTTAACAAGTGGCTAAATGAGACTACAGATTGTTAAGAACACTAAACATCATCACGCCAAGCACGTAAACTTATCTACTAACTAGTCCACTTTCACAGCCTCGTTGTGTTTACTTTTCTAACTATTCTAATTCAAGCTTTCCAACTTGTAGATTTTAAATAAAGACTGAAAGAGTTGTCAGAAGATTAAGCATGTTGACGTTGAAGTTGTGCATTGTGTAGTTTGTTTATAGCCTAACTTTTTACTTTTAAGCTTTTTACTTCTGGCGATTGTATTTAGGTTTTAAAATTTATAAAGGCTGATGAATTTTTGATGAACAAAACTTGTAAGAATCACAAACTTTTGTTGGTCACAGAGCTTACTTCCTACAATATTTCAAAAGCCAGTGGAAAAATCACACTGTTTTTTTTGTCGAGGGAAACTGGGTGATGCTAATGGATACCAATGGATAATACGTTTTAGAAGGATCCATTAAAAAGGCTCACCGAAGTGGTCACCCTCCTGTTCTTGGCACTGGCTCTTTGATTCTTAGGTTTGAGGGACATACGGTGACGGGCAGCAGAGTTGTCCAGGAGGGAAGTGAATTGTGGAGGAGTGCTGAAGTCCACTGAGCCAGGGGCAAGTGGGGAAAAGGGTGCAGGTGCTGGGCTGACCGGCCGAGGAGAAAGCGGCTGTGAAGAGGCCTGGAAGGAAAGGAAAAGGGACATTAGACAATATTTAGGACCAAAAAAACCCCATTCAAATTTAAGCCATAAATCAAATATATGAATGACAGGTATAATGTCAACACGTCAGTGAAATGGCAGCAGGCTACCTGTTCTTCCTACTCACTTCCTGTTTCAGCTAAGCTCAAGGTGCTATGGTTTTTGGGAGGGATAGAAAACGGCAAACATCATGACATAGAAGTTTACGTGAGATTTAGGCTGGGGTAGTAACAGCAGTAATGGAGACACAAAATGAGCCACACAAACTCGTGCAGATGTTTGATTAATGATAGTCTGAAAGGCCAAAGCTATGCAGAAAACATGCATTTAACACCAACACATGCATGTATTAGTGACAATACACTAAAATACACTATGTCACAACAAAGATACTGGAATGCTGCTGTATTATAGTTGAAGCACCTTGTTCGATATGCTCATGTATATTCCTTCTCCACGGGAAACTTCAGAGGGGCTACGAGGAAGGCTGTCATCTTCTGAACTTCCACCTAAGTCTACACGCCGTTTAATGGGCAACAGAAGTGGATGAGGACCTAAATGCAGCTTTTGCTGCTGGAGTTTTATCTGATCAAACAAAATAAATCATCTTAAAGTCTATTCGAAACATTTCCGTCAGTCACACTGATGAGTGTTTATAAAGTGGGGCATTTTAGCTATAATAAGAGTGTTTTGAATGTGTTGTCTGTCTTACCTGCAGAGCTCGAATTTTGCCATGAATGTTCTCTTGAGACAGAATTCTAAGTGGTTCAGGGTCTGAATGACTGTGCTCTGCATAAAAAATGCTGTCATTTGAAAATGCCCGGGATCCCAGCATGCCTTTGGAGCAACTTTGAAGAAAAGATGTAAAAAGCAAAGAGGGGCATGTTATCCCTTGTGAATTTTTTTTTTAAAAGAGCATTTGTTATGGAAATAATATATAGTTTACATTTATTTTAAATTCATGCATTTATTTTAATAGCGCCATTTTGGAGAATATCCGCTGGACGTAAACAACATATGCTGTTCTGTGTCAGCTGCGTCACACGCTGTTTTCGTTCAGATCCTGTAGCGCCAGTTTGGAGAATATCCGCTGGACGTAAACAGCATACGCTGTTAACGTCCAGCTGATATTCTCCAAAATAACACTACAGGGTGATGCGGAGGAGACGAATAGTTGAATAAAGTCGTTATTTTTTTTCTTTTGTGCACAAAAAGTATTCTCTTAGCTTCGTAAAATTACGGTTGAACCCCTGATATCACATGGATTATTTTACCAATCTCCTTGCTACGTTTCTGGACTTGGGAAAATTTCAGTTGTATTGCTGTCTATGCAGGGTCAGACAGCTCTCAGATTCCATCAAAAATATCTTAAATTGTGTTCTGAAGATTTAAGCATGTTGACGTTGAAGTTGTGCATTGTGTAGTTTGTTTATAGCCTAACTTTTTACTTTTAAGCTTTTTACTTCTGGCGATTGTATTTAGGTTTTAAAATTTATAAAGGCTGATGAATTTTTGATGAACAAAACTTGTAAGAATCACAAACTTTTGTTGGTCACAGAGCTTACTTCCTACAATATTTCAAAAGCCAGTGGAAAAATCACACTGTTTTTTTTGTCGAGGGAAACTGGGTGATGCTAATGGATACCAATGGATAATACGTTTTAGAAGGATCCATTAAAAAGGCTCACCGAAGTGGTCACCCTCCTGTTCTTGGCACTGGCTCTTTGATTCTTAGGTTTGAGGGACATACGGTGACGGGCAGCAGAGTTGTCCAGGAGGGAAGTGAATTGTGGAGGAGTGCTGAAGTCCACTGAGCCAGGGGCAAGTGGGGAAAAGGGTGCAGGTGCTGGGCTGACCGGCCGAGGAGAAAGCGGCTGTGAAGAGGCCTGGAAGGAAAGGAAAAGGGACATTAGACAATATTTAGGACCAAAAAAACCCCATTCAAATTTAAGCCATAAATCAAATATATGAATGACAGGTATAATGTCAACACGTCAGTGAAATGGCAGCAGGCTACCTGTTCTTCCTACTCACTTCCTGTTTCAGCTAAGCTCAAGGTGCTATGGTTTTTGGGAGGGATAGAAAACGGCAAACATCATGACATAGAAGTTTACGTGAGATTTAGGCTGGGGTAGTAACAGCAGTAATGGAGACACAAAATGAGCCACACAAACTCGTGCAGATGTTTGATTAATGATAGTCTGAAAGGCCAAAGCTATGCAGAAAACATGCATTTAACACCAACACATGCATGTATTAGTGACAATACACTAAAATACACTATGTCACAACAAAGATACTGGAATGCTGCTGTATTATAGTTGAAGCACCTTGTTCGATATGCTCATGTATATTCCTTCTCCACGGGAAACTTCAGAGGGGCTACGAGGAAGGCTGTCATCTTCTGAACTTCCACCTAAGTCTACACGCCGTTTAATGGGCAACAGAAGTGGATGAGGACCTAAATGCAGCTTTTGCTGCTGGAGTTTTATCTGATCAAACAAAATAAATCATCTTAAAGTCTATTCGAAACATTTCCGTCAGTCACACTGATGAGTGTTTATAAAGTGGGGCATTTTAGCTATAATAAGAGTGTTTTGAATGTGTTGTCTGTCTTACCTGCAGAGCTCGAATTTTGCCATGAATGTTCTCTTGAGACAGAATTCTTAGTGGTTCAGGGTCTGAATGACTGTGCTCTGCATAAAAAATGCTGTCATTTGAAAATGCCCGGGATCCCAGCATGCCTTTGGAGCAACTTTGAAGAAAAGATGTAAAAAGCAAAGAGGGGCATGTTATCCCTTGTGAATTTATTTTTTAAAAGAGCATTTGTTATGGAAATAATATATAGTTTACATTTATTTTAAATTCATGCATTTATTTTAATAGCGCCATTTTGGAGAATATCCGCTGGACGTAAACAACATATGCTGTTCTGTGTCAGCTGCGTCACACGCTGTTTTCGTTCAGATCAAATCACAACAATGTAGGAAACAGATCCGGCATGACGCAGCTGACACAGAACAGCATACGCTGTTAACGTCCAGCTGATATTCTCCAAAATAACACTACAGGGTGATGCGGAGGAGACGAATAGTTGAATAAAGTCGTTATTTTTTTTCTTTTGTGCACAAAAAGTATTCTCTTAGCTTCGTAAAATTACGGTTGAACCCCTGATATCACATGGATTATTTTACCAATCTCCTTGCTACGTTTCTGGACTTGGGAAAATTTCAGTTGTATTGCTGTCTATGCAGGGTCAGACAGCTCTCAGATTCCATCAAAAATATCTTAAATTGTGTTCTGAAGATGAACGAAGGTCTTACGGGTTTGAAACGACATGAGGGTGAGTAATTAATGACAGAACTTTCATTTTTGGGTGAACTAACCCTTTAAACTTTACATTATTACTTCAAGTGAACTTTACAAGTAGAGTTGTTTTAAATATACTTTTAAGGTTTGAAGTACACTACATTCAAAGCAACGGCGTACATTTCATTTTCACAAGGGATCATCAAATCGTGTATAGCTTTTACTTGCTTCAAAGTTTTACTTTATGATCAAACATTGTCCATTTTTAATTTGTTGATGTTAACTTTGGTAAGTTTAGCTTTTCTTCAATCACACCATGCTGACACTGTGAACACTTACTCGGAGTCGTCCACACTCAGTGTGATGTCACTTTCAGACTGACTCGGCTTCATGCCACTATCATCCTGTTTCCTCCTTATCTTCCCAAACAGGCGTGACTTAGACTTTAACCTGGACTTCTTCCTTCCTAAACATCAAACATATCATGCCTTTAGAATAGTATGTCATATATTATAAAAAACTGAGACTGGATTAACTGATGACAGCATTGAGCTTTACTGAAAGATTTCTGACCTGTTAAGTCGTCACTGCCTTCTCCCTCTGGGTCTCCTGAAGCCCCCAGAACATTCATCTTCACCGGTACAGCTGCTAATGAGGACTGTTACACAGAAATCAGATGAGACAGAATGAGGAGTAAAAAATAAATACAGGCGGGGTATGGAAAGCGTCAGTGGAATTATCAAAGGGAATGTTCTAGTCTAATGTAGTAAGACAATAGCAAATGATAGTTTACTAACTATTAACTGTTACTTGTTGTTCTTAAATTCACAATAAAGTAAAGTAGTTGTTCTACAAAGGAGAGCAGCAAACGAGTAATTTATTGACATGTAAAATACTAGAGGAATGGCATATCTCTGGTGTGGCAATGTGGCTAAATTCTAAATCTGATAACAGAAGGCTTTTCTCAACCCAACAAGACCAAAGGTTTCTTCTGCAGTCATATTTTCCATGTGTTTTTCCATTACTGAAAATGATGGATGTTATGTTCAAAATTTGAGGACAGTAAGTTAATATTTTTTGAAGAAATTAATACTTTAATTTAGCAAGGATGCATGAACTTGAACAAAAGTAGCAGTAAAGACATTTAAAAAAAACTTAATTGAAAATGTCTATTTCAAATAAACACTGTTCATTTGAACTTTCTATTAATCAAAGAATGCTGAAAAAAATGTATCCCAGTTACCACAAAAAATAATAAGCCTGGAGTAATGGCTGCTGGAAATTCAGCTTTGGAATAAATACATTTTAAATAGAAAATAGTTACTTGAAATTGTATCAATATTTCACAGCGTTCCTGTTTTTACTGTATTTTTGTTTTGAATGGTAGTGTATATAAGTGATTTTTTTGTTTTAATTTAATTAAATCTGTTATGTGCTGCATGAATCACATATTAAATGCAGACTGTGTTAAATCAGGGGTCAATAACCACAGGCATGTGTGATACCATTGGCATGCAAGCTAGATTGTTATTTATTTAGTACTATTTCCTCATTGTCAAACGACTTGTTAAGAACCAGTTGACTTGTTTACGTAGATATTAAGTAAAATATGTGAGACTGTGTCCTTTATTTGGACAATGTTCCTCACACTTATTTCAACCTTATAGGCGTCACTATCCTTTATTATAACAAACCTTTCTTATCTCTGACCATGCCTTGATAATGCAGATATGCAACAGAAAAAAAACCAAAGTCCACCCAGTCCATCCCTTTGCTGCTCTGTGTTTGCTTTCCTAATTAACACAGAAGAAACACCAAACATGTTTCTTAGTGTTAATTGTTAAAATTATTAAATAAAATATGTCTCCATGTTTGAGTACACAAGATTGAATTCTCATGTAGTTGAGGGATTTTCTTAAAAACATTTGGGGGTGAAACATTACGCAGACACGCATATGCAAAGCTGAATTTTGAGCATCATTACTTTAGTCTTCAGTGTCACATGATCCTTCAGAAATCATTTTGCTGCTCAAGAAACATGTTTTTATTAATGTTGAGGACAGTTGGACAGCTTTATTGTAGATGTTTTGTAGAAACAGTGATCAATTTTTTTCAAGATACGTTGAATAAAAAGTTCAAAAGAACAGCATTAATTTAAAATAGAGATATTTTGTAATCTTGCGTAATAAAATGTTTTCTTTCAAAAACAAAAATATTATTGACCCCGAACTTTAAACATTAATACTAATGACTGACTTTGATTACTTATTGAATATTTATATATCATATATAAATAATGAAATTGCTATGAATGATGCTGTACTATAGTTACCCTGGACAACAAAACATATGTACTTCAAATAATATTAAGCAAGATAAATGACATCACTTACTTTGTCAGTAAAATCCTTCTTTCCTCGTTTCTGTGTGATTTAGCTTCTGTTCTTCCTTTTAAAAGATACACATGATGTCCTTACATCCTATGAACCATGACAGCTCTGTCCCAATCACAACCATGCAGAGAGATGGAGGAACTGAAAGACAGACCGGAGAACGCAAAATCAGGAGAGGAACTACTGAAAAAAAGAAAGCAAGGAAAAGGAAAAGGAAAAGGAAAAGCAGGCTCTGACAAAGAGACACATTGATGGATTTGATGTTTGGCAGTAAGGAGTTGGACACACACTGACTGGCAACTCATGCTTTCCCTGCATGCCTAAGCTTCTTACTAAGCACTAAACAGCTTTTGGAGGACAGAGAGTGTGCTGCTGCTGGCCGAGTGAAGGCATCAACACACCACCCAGCACTCTATCAACAAGAGCAAGTGTGTATATGTTGATAGCAAGAGCATATGAACAGAGCAGTCAGGTCAACTGCAGGTATCCAGAGCATCACATCTGATTTATATTCCTCTTGTGTTTGTAAATTATTTGTTAGAGACAGTTGAAAATATCACTGTTAAGACAACCGAACAACTGTGGTTTGCGTCATGCATTTGCATCCACACGTCAGAGTAGGTCAGTTTTTGTATGCAAATCATTTAAACACTGTCATATTCCACTCAAAGTTCACTATGGAGGAACTGAAAGACAGACCGGAGAACGCAAAATCAGGAGAGGAACTACTGAAAAAAAGAAAGCAAGGAAAAGGAAAAGGAAAAGGAAAAGCAGGCTCTGACAAAGAGACACATTGATGGATTTGATGTTTGGCAGTAAGGAGTTGGACACACACTGACTGGCAACTCATGCTTTCCCTGCATGCCTAAGCTTCTTACTAAGCACTAAACAGCTTTTAGAGGACAGAGAGTGTGCTGCTGCTGGCTGAGTGAAGGCATCAACACACCACCCAGCACTCTATCAACATGAGCAAGTGTGTATATGTTGATAGCAAGAGCATATGAACAGAGCAGTCAGGTCAACTGCAGGTATCCAGAGCATCACATCTGATTTATATTCCTCTTGTGTTTGTAAATTATTTGTTAGAGACAGTTGAAAATATCACTGTTAAGACAACCGAACAACTGTGGTTTGCGTCATGCATTTGCATCCACACGTCAGAGTAGGTCAGTTTTTGTATGCAAATCATTTAAACACTGTCATATTCCACTCAAAGTTCACTTAAGCTGGATGAAAAATGAATCTTCTATTTTTGTCTGAGGTCAGTTTACTTTTTAGAAAGAAATTATTACTTTTGTATATATATTTTTTTATCTGGGACCCATTCATTGTCTTTTTTCTTAAATGTCATTATGATTGTGGTCTGAATTTCTTTCTGTGTGTGCATGCGTGCATACCTATGTATGTAAATACTTTCTTTTTGGAAGGATTTGTTTGTCGAAATATGTGCGTATATATTTAATTATGGTTAAAAAATGTTGTTTCTAAACTTTAATGATTCATCATGTATTCTATACATACTTGACGTACTCTGTATTAATATATATTTTTTTATCTGGGACCCATTCATTGTCTTTTTTCTTAAATGTCATTATGATTGTGGTCTGAATTTCTTTGTGTGTGCATGCGTGCATACCTATGTATGTAAATACTTTCTTTTTGGAAGGATTTGTTTGTCGAAATATGTGCGTATACTTTATGGTTAAAAAATGTTGTTTCTAAACTTTAATGATTCATCATGTATTCTATACATACTTGACGTACTCTGTATTGCAGTATAATTATGCATTGAGAATTTTTTTCTTCTTCTTTATTGTATGTATTTTAAACTTAGCTTGTTTTATTTTATTTACATATTTTATTTTTAATACTTTTATTCCGCAAAGGCACAAATTAAATTGATCAAAAGTGACAGTAAAGACATTTTTTAATGTTACAAAAGCGGTTTTATTTCAAATACTGTTCTTTTGAACTTTCTATTCATCCTAGAATCCTGAAAAAAGGATTCCTCAAAAACATTGATAACAGTAATAAATGTTTTTGAGCACCAAATCAGCATATTAGAAAGATTTCTGAAGGATCACGTGACACTGAAGACTGGAGTAATGATGCTGACAATTCAATTTTGCAATCACAGGAATAAACAACTGTATGTTTTATTTTGAATTGTAATAATATTTTACAATATTGCTGTTTTACTGTATTTCTGATCAATTACATGCAGCCTTGGGTGACCTCTTTCCAACAATATTTAAAAAAAACTATTGAATGGCAGTGCACAATGTAACAAATGTTACAAATATGGGGCAAAATATTAAATTAGTATTAGCCAGATTACCAAGTGACAGATGAAGATGAATTTAACATCAACAGTAACATATGAAAATATCATAAGCCTATATTTAGTTGTCTTAACTACATGTGGTTAGTTATTTTATTAATATTTGACCATATCATGGAAGACTAGTCAGTTAATAACCACTTGTTAAACCACATCTGAACCAGACTCATGATCTACTTCTCAGTATTGTGTGCATGACAAGAAATAAATGAGCAGATACTGCTATCTGTGATGCAGAGATCATAAGCATATTTAGATTCATACGCTCAGGTGAGACGGTGGAGCTGAACAGATGATGTGCTTCCTTTCCTTCTGTGCAGACAACAACAGGAGCTTTCAACTCCCTCCTGTGTTACTATAAGTAACTGTGAAAGTAGGCTACAGCCTATTTGAAATGTTTAAAAGGTGAGATAAAGAAATGACAGACAAGGCTCTCAAAAGAAAGCACTGGGTCAATTGTACATGTACATCTAGACATGTACGTCTCCTTCACTGACTTTTTAACCCTAAAAATGTTACTCTCTCATTAAACTACCCATTATCTCTGAGGATGGAACGTTTTGTATCTGGCGCTCCACAAAGCACAGAGCAGCTTTGCCCCAGATACAGGCATAAATCTGTGTCAGGATCCAGAGTTGGCAACAAATCCCTCTCCTTTTCTTCTACTGGACAAAAGTCAGCTCGACATCTGCGTGACTTTCAGCCAGCCTACATTATGCGTCTGGCCTTCAATATAATCCATCTGTCAATTTACATTTTCATATTCAGACATGCATATTGAAGGGAAGCAAAAGTATTCTGCACATATGCCTCTTTCAATGCAAACCAGAATGTTTTACTACTGCTGACACTTTTCTCCGATTATTGCTGGACAAACAAATATATTGACATTGCATGCTGAACTGTTTCAGAAATGTATGGCCTGCTTGCTTGCATTCATGCCATGATCTGATTTGATTGATATATTTTCATTTCCTTATGTTATGTATTATGTGCATAAAGTATTTGATCAGTTTTCATAGTTAAAGCACATTGCACACAGCTTAGAGATTGTGTTTCAATATATCTGTACAAGTACAGTGTAATAGTAATATATAATGTTTTTTTATTATTGTTATAGTAACTTGCTTGTTTGTTTTTGTTAAGGTAATTAAAATGCACTAAGGGAGACTAGAGCTAGTTGTTATAATGTAGGCTGTAGGTTTTGAGTGATACCAGAAAAACATGCTCGTTTCCTCTAGCAGTGGTTTTGTATGTTGGATTCAAACACCTAGATCTCTTAAATTAATATAATTTTTGTGAACTCAGCGTATTTTAGTATTATTAAGATACTGTTATAGTTTTTATTAAAAATTTTAAATATTCTAAATTGTTATTTTATTGTTTTTGCTGAACAATATTTTGAATTGTTTTTATTTATTTTATTTTGGTCAAGGTTTTAGTAATTTGTGTTTTTGTCTGTTTTTATTATTTTTTTCTCAAATATGTTTTCGTATTATTTTTTCTCAACTATGTCGACATAGTTTTTATTAAATTGATTTCAGTTTTATTTTTAGTTATTTTAGTACATCAAGTTAAAGTCAATGAAAATGAAAAATGTTTCCTTGACAACTAGCTGTATAAATAAAATAAGTTTTTTTAATTTTATTTCAGTTAAAGTTCATTTTATTCCAAGTAGTTTATTCCAAATGTTTTTTATGGTTTTAGTTGACATGTTCAATACTACAATTAAAATGAACAATAACTGTTGGGTAACAAGTAAACACAACAAAACCACACTAAGGTATGTTCAGACAAAATTCAACTATTAAATGGAGGGAGATTTTAGGGATTTTTTTCATAAATGATCAGGACAATTCATCATGCGTTTCAACGTAGTAGCCTAATTTTTTTAATTTATTAATTATACAAATATGTTGTATTTTGCTGGTCAAAATATTGGTTTTGTATTCTTGCTTACGGTTACATTTATGCAGGTTTTTTTTACCCATGCTTGACACGCTGCTATTCATTCATGTTCTCACACATTATCAGTGTGCGTTAAATAAACGGTAGCCTATTTTTTATTCTGTGAAATAATGACTTTATATGTCTACAAAAAAACTCAATAAACCTTCCTTGGAATAACATCAACTGCAGTAAAGTGAGACCGCAGGTCTCCCATAAAAATGATCAGTCAACTTTCTATGACATAGGATTTATGCATGCAGCATCAGATCAAATCACATAATCGTGGTGAATCATACAAAACCTCTAAAGAATGTTGGTTAAATATTTCACTTCAAAATCATATGAAGTTACATTTTTGCACCGTTAGGATTATTGGAGCATTGTGACATTGTTTTATGGAAATTAAGTACAACACTTACCCAATAATAAATAAATAAAATTCTCAAAATTGCTAAAAATGCAACGTAAAATTGTTTAAAAAAAACAAAACAATAAACAAACAAAAACTAAATTGTATTACAGGGGAATCGAGCTGAATTCTCATGAAAATACTGTCACAATACGAAAAATCTTAATATGTCCTGGATATGTTTCATGAGATTCACCATCATCACTCCAGTCTGCGCCCTTGAGAGAAGAATAGTGTTATTTAGAGACAACGCTCTATATTTTTCATATGAACTGAGATGAGGAGCACATATCGAGATTAAGGGCGATTATAGATTTAATCTCCTCCTGCAGGGAATTCATGCGAGTTTCATTGCAACTAATGGTTTCTAATATGACAGGCAAAAGAAGCAATAACTCATACAAACATGTCCAAGCAAACAAATACAAACACCACCACCGACTGCTTTTGATTTAGTTATTTAAAATCTGTATCACCAGTCCTTTCACAAACAGCAAGCCTTTTATAGTATTCTGTCTTAAATAAAGTCCATTAAATACGATATATACGAAAAAGATATTCAAAAACGCATGAAATTATGGGTTTTCGTTTGTACAATCAGTGTACATGTCACAATTCCCGCATATTTATGAGTTTCGATTTAAAAAACAAAACACAAACTTACCGTAACCACTATAACAACATCTTAAATCAAAATTAACACGATAACTGACACATGCCTGTCCTAAAACTTCATATAAATATAATGTAGTCGCGTATACTCACATACTGAGGTAAATCATGGAGAAAGTGCAGGTGAGGCGATCTCTGGCATTCACTTGCTCTTTAACCGAGCCGGTGGAGCAAAACACCGGCGTTTCAAGCGATACTTTGTTATCCACAAGCTGTAATATAAAGCAAATCGTTCGCTTTTACACGACGACTGGAAGTGTAAAAGGACCTCAGGATGGCGCTGCTGCTGCACAGAATATATTTGCAAAACGTTTTTATTAAGGGCACTTACTAGTGACTAACATTTTTACAGACTACTACCTTATTTACAAATGCACTTCGGTTTTTATTATGATTACAGAAGCAAACATATAATAAATACATATCAGTATCCAATCACCCCATCATATACTAGTGCATAAATGGTTTAAATCAGCAGAATAGAAGTAATAGCAATTACTATAGTTGTAATTACTATACTAATAATTCATATCAGAACATTTTAGCAGGCAATAAAATCACTCCTAATTTAAAAGCTGTAAATGGGATCAAAAGGCACATTTCCAGTCGTCCGGGTTGGAATGTGAGGATTGCATTCGAAATTACGTCCCACAGATAAGCCAGACCGTGGAGAAGCTTTCGAATCAAGATTATGTCGTCTTAGTGTGTTTTGTATGAAAAATGTCTACAGTAGTCTCATGACACTCTCTCAGATCATAATCACAGTATCCTACAGAGAAGCGACCCTTAAAAAAAAAGAGGGGGGAAAGTATTTTACATATCCATTACGCAAACACGTACAAATAACAGGTTATTTTTTGAATATTTCACAGGTTTGTGTTTCACTTAGGTGGTACCTTTGGCTTTTTGAAATAATCAAGTCCCCTGCCGATCTTAATAATCCAACCATTATTAAACCTGAGAAAACAAAATGAATATATAGAACAGAAAGAGTAAAGACACATTATCCTCCAGTGTGTTTTCTGTAACATACAGTAAATGAGAATGATTTGAGATGTACCTGATCTCCCTGTCATGAATAGTAGATGAGTACTGGATGTCCAGACAGACATTTTGACTCTGCAGCGACTGCTTTATTTCTGCCAGGGCACTGGTTTGCTGAGCAGAGCTGTCCTGGAAAACCACAAGATTAAGGTCAACTTTAATGGAAGCCTCTGATGAACAAAATGCTAAACCTTGCACATTGTTTTCTGTGCGTGTTAGTCAATGCAAATATAAAACGATTTGTAGAAGTTGGAGACCCTTACCTCGTCCTGTGAGGTCAGAAGGTGAATCGTCTTTACTTTACACTGGCATTTCAGCAGCATTTCACAGAAACGAAGGAAGTTATACAACTACAAAGGAGAATATTTGTAATTTATCATTCTGAGATATATTACTGCACTTATTAGTCACTCTGTAGTCTTTTGTACTATACTACATATTCAGAAGCATCACTGTCGTCTCTACCTGATGGACATGCCGTACATAAGGGTCCTCCACCCAGACTTCAGTCAGTCCGTCTCTGATGTAGGGTTTCAAGAGGGATTCATAGCTGAAACCAGTGGAACTGTCTGCTATCTTTATCTGCTCATGGTATTTACCCTCTGACAGGTAATCCAAAGTAACACTAAATCAATAAAGGCACATTTACATATTTAAAATTAATTATACGGTGGCGTGTCAATTTTCTTCGAAGGCGAATACAACTTTTGGAGCGAAAACAACCAGTTTTAAATCAGAAGCTGTTGTATGTTTTTACTCTTCCGGTGGGAACTAAAGTGTGAATACATCCGTTTCTATTATGTTGAAGGACCAGTCCTCGCTTCCGCTACACAATAAAAGTCCATAAATTAAAAGTCAAAAAAATGGTTCCGCTCAGTTATGTTATGAATTATAACGATGCATCATTCAATAATTTATTGTCCAGATAGCTACAGAAACTATATTATATATTAAAATTCTATATTAAATCCATGTAGGCCTGCTTAAATTTAAACACATTTATTTTTTGCTGCATTTGTGAGCTTTTATGTAAAAAAAAAAAAAAAGCCAATGAATGCAATGTGTGCAAATGTGTGGCATAAATATGCTATGCTTAAATGGACTTATAATAAAGATAACGTATATCAACTTTAACTGATTTAAATAAATGCAAAGGTGCAACTCATGTAAGAAAAAATAAATACTCTAATAGTTCGATTATTCCCGTAACACTGTGTCTGTGAAAAAAACATTCCCTGTCATTTCCAGACATTCTCTCAGATCATAATCATAGTAAATCATAGATACAGTAAAATATCTAAATAAGACTGAGGCTAAAAGGGTTGAGAAATGTCTCAGTGAGACAATTAATGTGATTCAAACTGGTTTAAGGGGATGTTTTGTAAATCTAGCATTCAAATAGGATTCAGAATAAATTGACGCTACAGGATGGTTTTAAACTGCAGCTCATCTACTGAAAGAAAATGTAATGGTGTTGACAGCTCATAGTGTTGTCAATATTATATTCAAAACTATTGCATGTCACAGCCATTTTTTATATCGTTAAAATGAGGGAAATTATCTAAATTGTGTGAGGACATATGGTCGTTGTGACAGAAAATAACAGCACTTACTTGCATATAATAACCCTATTTGGAAACAGATGTTCAATATATGTTTAATCTGGTTGGTTTTGGGGAGGAGGTCATGTTAATGTAATTTTATAAAATTAGTAAAATAAACAATAAATAAGATTAATATTAAGGTGAAAATATTCAAAAAACTAAAAGTAGGTAAATGTGTTTCATGTCTCAAGAGTTTGTGAACTAGTACTTAATTTGCATATTACCTAATATTGTTTTCTGGGTTTTCTGTTTTTTTTTTGGGGAAAGGTTCCATGGAACCATAAATGCCAATTAAAAACATAATTTTTAAGAGTTAAAGAACTGTAAAAATAGAAATTTAGAAAATGGCAAAATATTGAAGTAAAAACATATGTACTGTGTTCTTCTTTTGCCCTTCTCTTATTACTCACTGAAACCAGTTTGTATGAACATTTTCCCTCTCATCATTTCTCTGTCTTTTTTTTCCTGCTTGTTCATAAAGGGGCAATGATGACCACAAACAACATCAGAACATGTGAATGAAAAGCTGGCTGGGCCGCTCCAACAGTTTTAACGGTCGAGCAAGCCTGTTTTATTCACCGTTATGTGGGTGTAGTAGGGGGTGTTCTTTTAATGTACACAGTTTAAGAGTTGGGTGGAGCTGCATTTAGTGAGGAAGCATTTTATAGTTTAAATGGCTGAGAAGATTGAGTGAGAGCAAAGGACAGATGTGGTTCGGGCAGCCGTGGTGAGGAAACCTAAAGCCTGCTGTCTGACCAGCACCACAGTAACAGCATACTTCCCATTCTTCCTCCAAACCTCAGACCAGCCACGCCATTTCCTCTCGCCAACTGCCCAGAGCTTCCTCCTGCTTTGGCATGAATGGAGGTTGGAGAGTTGTTCAGTCAGTCTGTGTACAGTTGTAACTATGGAATGTAATTCATTACCATGTCTTTGTGGTGGATCTTTTTATTTTCTGTGGAATAGCATCCTTAGTAAATATGTGGTCATAATATTGTAGCATATGTGTAGTTCACTGCTATAAGCAGGAAACTGTGTCCAAAATAGCATGTTTTCCTGGAAACTAAAAGCAGATTGACCTGATCGGGATGAAGCGATGATAGATGTTTAATAGAAGTTCATTTTAAATCTCTGACTATAGACGTAATATAATTAACTGAATATTTTAGGCGAAAAAAATACATTTTTAAATAAATAAAGAAATGAAATTTAGCTTGATGTCAGATTAAAGTAGCCTAATGATGCATTGTCATGGAACGTGCAGTGAGTCATAAGTTGATGCAGGATTTGTCAGACTGATTCAAATCGGTAACTCGGGTTGAGTGTTTTGATTACAAGACCGAACCGACCCATGAGAATCATTTGTTCGTGAATCGGACTATCGTTTTGTGTGTGTGTGTGTGTGTGTGTGTGTGTACTTGTTTATGCTACATTGTGGGGACCAAATCTCCCCACAGGATAGTAAACCCTGACATTTTTTACATTGTGGGGACGGGCCTGCGGTCCCCAAAAGGGGAAAAAATGTAAATAAAAATAGTAAATGATGTTTATCTGAAAGTGTAACAATGCAAACAGGTTTCCTGTAAGGGGTAGGTTTAGGGTTAGGGTTGGGTTATGGATAGAAAATATTGTTTGGTCAGTATAAAAGTAATAGTGTCGCACCCCTGTGGACTGTTGATTGTGGTTTCTCACTCTGTGTCCATATTTGGTTATTCCTGTTCTCATTATTAGTTAATCACCTCATTGTGATCTGGAGTGCTGAATCCCTGACAACTCATCTCTTTCGTTCCCATCTGACTTCATCCTAGAGCGTCTGCTAAACTAATAAATGTAAGAGAGCACACAATTTGAGTGCACAGGACGGATGTTAGCAGATCGATTATAGATAGAGAGAAATGGAAGATAAAAAAGAGGAAAATTTCGGAGGAACAAAACCTTAAAAAGAAGGGTTACGATCAGGCAAGAGGTAGGACCCGCATAAATATCGGAGCAGCTTTCCAGCAGTGGAGAGAAACTCAGGAGTGGGAAGGGCACGAATCGGACACCGAGTTTGCGTTGTTTCTTCTTTATAGGTGAGAAACGTTGATTTTGCTTCGTTTCACACAACTTACCTGTGTGTTGGCTTTTGTTTGAATATGCATGTGTGTCATCTTCGCTTGTTTCCGCAATAGTCGTTGCCATGATTGTGTACGTACGTGTGGGCGGAGCTATCAAAATAGGGGCGAGGTCTTGTTGGGGTATGGGCGTGTTTGTTTTGGTGCTTTCAAATATCAACAATTGTTTGGCAAAAATTAGTGCACCTTTAATGTTGCTTTTTTACAATTTGCAAGTTTTGTTTTCTACAATGGGTAGTAGGGGTGCTCCGATTGATCGGCTACCGATCACAATCGGTCGATAATTATGTTTGGATGACTGATCAACGGTCTCTAAAAAGGCCGATCTCAAAAAAACGATCTGAAGTTGATGACGCTGCCGTGAGAAGTTTGGCACGACATGCAGTGGCACCGTCTCAGTCTCTGTCCGGTGTGGGTGAAATAACTATAATGCTGAAGGTGAGGTACTCGCCTTCATACTACTTCATTTAATAATTTATAAAGTAATCTGAAAACCTTGTGTGAGATTGTAATTTCACAAACGGCGTGAGTGAATCACCACGTGCACGCTCTCTCTTTCTCTCTCAAAATACGCAAATGGCTTCAAATCACCACATGGCGTCTGTCTATAAGCGAACTGCACGCTGCACAGTTGACACAGGAATTGTCACTTGCACAGTCGAGGCAGTGTCACGTTGTCACTAAAGTTTATAAATTTAATTTCTTTTTAATTCTTGCCTGTGTTTAACCATTCAGCTCTAGCGCGCTCTCCTGGAGACCGTGCGCTCATACACACTCGCAGCGCACACACATAACGCCAGGTTCACATTACTCCGTTTGCAGTGTGTCGTGTCTTGTAAATAAAGACTCTGGATTCGAACTGTATTTACGTGCTTTACTGAAAACTCTCGAAACAACCTTACATGTATACAACTCGCTGGCACACAC